GGAAATGACATACGGATGAACTGACACCGATGTTGATATTTTCTCATGTCCTACTTTTTGTTATTGATTGTGAACAAGTTTTTTTTTAGATTAATTAAGAAATATGGAAAATCCTTTTAATTGTATCCTCCTTAAATCATTTCACGCAATAATTATGTAAAAATATTGAAGAAACAACGTGCACTTACCTTGAACACTATTTTGTCTTCCTCCATTGTTGTTGATGCTTTTGGGACGGTATGTAATACGACGACCTGTTAAATAGAAAATATTATTTTATATTCGTACGTATATTTTTGCAAATAACAATCAAAAAAAGAAAGTCCGCAAAATTAAACAACTATTTCTAAAAAAGTAAATTGTGTTATCTCATAATTTTTGTAGTTAATAATTTTAAACCAGCAGATTTCATGCTTGGGACTGATAGAAATGAATAAATCAGATGATTTAAATTAATTTTATTGTATATTAAACGATTATAAGTACAAATATAGTTTTAATATCAAGGACTTGATCTCAAATCATTATTAACATAAAAACAGATTTCATAACGAGATGGACAGTATCTGTATTTGATCTGAAGCCTGAGATAAATAACTTGCAAAAACATTTTAGTAAATCAAGCATACAATTGAATTAATTTTACCCTTTTTTTTGCTTTATGATATTGTTATATCACTTTAGTATCAATCACAATATTTTAAAGACACGAAATTAAATATACACAGAACTGAATCTAATTCAGTGCTTACAAGATGCTACTTACTAGTCTTAGTTATGTCAAAACTATTTTTATCTCACTTTTTCAGAAACAATAAAAGAGACAACAATAGATTTTCGTATAAATATTTTGGAGAAAAGCCACAGATATTAGGTTGAGGATATTTATTTAAACTTGTTTGACATTTGCCGTTGCTTTACGTTCGATCCCCTATCGGTCGCTTAAAAAATATAACACAGATTGTGAACACTTGTGAGTGACAACAAGAATACTTTTTAGCAAATGATGCTAGTTAAAAAACATTTGTTTCATATGATTTATATTCAAAAATGACGATATACTAAAGGAATGTCAATTCAATGTTTTTTTTTTCTATACAAAATAATTTAAAGACAAACAAATCTAATTAACATACCCTTGGTCGACGTACCAGGAAGACGGTCATCGAGTATGACAGGACACGAGTACGACACAGATTAAAAATACAGTTGGCGGCAATAATTACCATGCTAATTAACAAATGCAATCACTCACGTGCAACTCACGAGCCTTACTAATTCCAATAATACTACATTACATTTCTATGATAGTTTTTTTTATATTAACAATAGGTTACAGAGACCTGCATTTTCTCGTATCGTGTCGTATGCAATTAGAAAACATTCCACTCTATCATAAACACAAAACATGTCATTGTCTAGTCATCTTACTATTCATACATAATTTATTAAATGGAATTTCGACAAAACTAGCCCATTGTTAATTTTAATATAATAATTTATTTTTTACACGCTAAGTATGTAGGCAAACTTTTATGTTGCTAATCTACATAATAGCAATATGTAATTATTTCCAATAATTACAATTAAATATAACAATTGAACATATCATTAAATAAAATTGCGTAAATATTCAACTGCATTGTGTAAATCTTACACAATGTATAACCAAATCAAATCTAACGTATTCCGATGGTTCACGGATAATATCTTTGTTCATCGAAAAGTTTAAAATAGCTTCAAATTTCGGTAGTCTCTAGGTTTTTACTTGTCACGTAATTTCATAACACTAGCCATCTCTATCTCGCCCGGATATCCGTCCCGCCAAACATTAAAAAAAAACGTAATCATCATAATCCGTTCAGTTTTAGAGTTATGAATTTGCATTACCAACACATAGGATACATCCGTAGGAGCCGCCGATTTATGTTTTCTTTTATGAGACAAGAAAATAAAAGAATAGATAAATAATTAGTGTGAGGGAGGCACAAAGGTTGTGTCATAAATAATAACCCAACCTACAGCTTGCATGAATGGCTGCCACTACAACCTTCAAATGCACATCTTGCTTTATTGTGTACAACAAAATTAAGATGTACATTATGAAAAGGTTATGTATATTATGCCTGATTCATCGACATTAAAATTATTACATAACTAAAATATTAACAAAATGTTTTATGAATCGTTGATTTAATTCTTAATTCTGTTATCTCCGCCTACCATTATGGGTTAACGGAGTGAATTATTTTGATTTTAAATTGTATCTTTTTTTAACTCATCGTTTGGTTAATACATGTGCTGTTAATATGTATATTAAAATGTGGTCCGGTCCATATTATTATTTTTTAATAATTGATTGTTGCAAAAGTTTAAATTAATTTGAATCCGATAAGAGTATCCGGTCTAATATTAGAATTAATAAATATTATTACAATCAGATACATCATCTGTTTAATTAGGAATACAAATGAAAATAATTACGTTGATTAACGATCTCTATAATGCTCTTGGTCTATAAAATCCAATAAATTTTAGTTGCATAAAAATAAAATGTATTTATTAATTTATATTTATCTTTTATCACAAGATACTACGATACATAGAGTTGGTTTATTTGTTATTTTTTTACAACCGAATTGTACAACGGTGCGTAATTTCGAAGATGAATTAAATTGTTCGTTCCGCTTAGAAATCGAACGTCCGTACAATTCTTCGGCAGATTCGTGCGCAGTGCGATGAAGCAACATCGAGTACAGTCACCGACAAATGAATTAATAATTAGTTTATATTTTTTCAGTATTTAAAGCAATTTTAAGTTACATCAGTCTTACCGTCGGAATTACAGTAGTAGTAATCGTCAAGTCGTTATTGTGTGAGAAATGTACACTATGAGAGGGACTAAGTGACCAATTAACTTGAATTTGACCGTTACGGCACATCATTTAACTTTTACGAACATCATAGTAACTTTTACGAACGTGTCACTTATCATACATAATACTTTTTGAGATATTTGTCGGTCACTGTACTTGTAATATTGCGTTACCACGGCAACGAACCTAACCTTCTACTATATGTTTACATTTTACTTTAGTGTAAAACAGATTTGTTCATAATATGCGCTTTTTACATTTGTCCTTGATTATAAGTACTGCAAATAATTTTTGTTTTAAATATTAAACGGAGAACAATAAATAATTTGAATTAAATTTTGTTATGTCAAATCGTAATTTAATTGATTAAATAAAAGCACTGTTAAACGTAATAGTAAAGGCCAAAAAGACTAAGAAGAAGAAGTTTAATACAAAGTTTTTTTTATATTAAAAAGCGCAAGTTACGAAATGTGTACTTAATATAAATATTTACTGTGAGAATGACCTAAAATAATTTAACGAGCGATTCATTCATTGCGCGCATCGAATTTGAAGTAGCTTGCACAAATTACTTGTTCTTTACATGCATATTTTTTTAAACACATTATACATCGTTTAAATAATGTTCATAGAAACAACAATGTCAGTTTTTTTTATGAAAAAAACTCCATAAAAATTGTGTTTCTTTGTACAAACTAAAATTACGACGGAGTCGCGGGCGATAGCTAGTATATTAATAAGCTGAGTAATCCCTTATTCATCAATATAAGATTATAAGTTACGTTCATTCAACTCTTTTGTAAGAAATCATTTTGAATAGAATATTGTTCGAAGTATCGTAAGTCTTAATGGAAACTGTAACGGGCTGTATTGTCTATCTCTGAGTTTTTATGATAAATGGTCTACAAAGATGGTCTAGTCTTATCATCTATATGACGTAAACTAGATCTAATACAATCCTAGGTCTGATAAAGACATTTTAATATTACTTATGTCTATTTATATAAAGTGCTATTTAGGTAAACATTAAATATCCGTAAATGCTGTCTAGTGAATTGTGTATTTTCTACCAGTCGGCTTAGAAACTCTTCTTATACAGAAAACAGGAAGTATTTCTTAAATATTAATGTGGACCCGAAACATTATAGTTGCCATTCAATAAAACATAGTTTATTTTTCCATCATTTTAAAGCTTTTTTCATTAATTCATGCAGTTTGTTATTGATAAAGCTTAATCCTTGATGTCGAAGATTACACCAGTGTAATGATTATAGTTAATATTTTATCAATCTTTCATTTTTACTTACTTGTTAATGACTTAATAAAATAAGTCCAACACTCCACTAAGTACGTATTATCGCAAGTTACAAAACTCTTGCGTTATTTATCTTAAAGCTCTATATATTACTCGGTTGTCATGGTAACGCGTGGGGTATTAAAAATGGCGGTTTGTGCGCGCGCGCCGCAATGTACGAACGCGGACTGGCTTCACTCGGCGCGGCCGTCGACCACCACCGCGGCTCCTCAGAAAGCGAGAGGAAGAGCAGGCCCCAAGCCTGTTTTGTTGCACGAGGACGCGTTACCATCAATCCATTTTAATAGTTTAAACTATGACAATATACTCGTTTATCTCATTATCACGATATTTGCACCCATCTAGTTTTCGCTACCACAGTTCAATCAATCGTTTATTGTGCATCGCAATATGATATAATTAAACATGACCCTCCCTTGAAACGTCAACTAAACAATACAACACTGTAATAACTATACGATTAGATTTATCGAATAATCTACGTCGCAGATGGCTTTACCTTGAACCAAAGAATTTGTATTTATCATTCAATACAAATTCTCCAAATGTGTAGGTCATGATCAAATAAAAATACTCTTATGAATGTTATAAAATTTATTTCGATATTACAATATTAAGAAAAATAACTATCAATTCGGAATACATCACTATAAAATATAATCTTAAATCTATTTTATATTTTCTACACAAAGGCACCTAAAATGCAATTAATTAATAAAAAGCAGTTAAACAAGATACCTTAACATAAAATAAAAATATCCATTTCATACAAAAAAGTCCCCGTTTAGGGCAGATCTTAAAAAAATATCAGATAATGAAATGGCTTTCAGGCTACTAAAATAAGTTCTTAAGTAAAAGTATGATTATTGTATGTTAAAAAGCTACGTACTATGAATGTTCAGTAAAAAAAATATATTGGCAAATGCCAATTAAAACAATACAATTTAATTAATTAAAAACAAATGATATGATGCATTCTTGTGGCGATCAGCACCAATGTGCAACACGCATAGTTTATTACTGACGCAAAATCAATATTGTTACTTTAAATGCTATTATTATATTAACGACTATGATATTTAATTCACATTTAACAAAAAAAAAAGATTTTTACTATCAATAACCATTCTAAAAAAGTTAGAGGCTAGGATATCGTTCATGAAAATATTCGAATAGATAGATTAGAACCCACTACTATGAATCATAGTCCGTACCTTTAACCATTAGGCTATTGGCGACTTGATGAAAATACAGATAGATGTTACGGTGTTATTGAATCATTTCAAAGTATTAATGTATATTTCTTTTATTTGAAAACATTTAAAATAACAATACTTCATATTCGCAATACTAATAAGTAAAACTAAAATTAATATTACAATTAAACATGATTACAAACGAAAGAGAAATAACCAAAGCACATTTTACACCAAAAACTAATGTTAGTAAGATCTGAAAGCTTAAACTTTGTTAATATACAAGTTAAGATGTAGTTATATATTATTGTGCAAATAATTTCCACCAAAAAAATATAACGCCGGTCACAAACTTATCTATATATATTTACATATCCAATGAAAATAATTTTACATGAAATATAGCATATTAACTAATTTTACAAAACACCACTTTGATTATATACAATGTAAAATTTTAAATCTAAATAGTATTGACAACTTGATCGAAACATTTAGCGACAAATTGTTCCTTTTCGTCCAACTTTTTGACATCGCTATTAAGATGGCGAGTAAGCATTGCGTCTTGCAGAGCGTTCAGTGCTTCCGAAGTGAATCTCTTGCCTTTCAAATGTGTTATCACTGAAGCCTCTCCATGGAAACCCGACTCGATGAGTCCCGGAGGGATAGATAGAGTGACGTCATCAATCAACCCTTTCTCCACCGTCATGTTGATGACCAGCTCCTGCGTGGCTGTGTATACCTTCGAAGGGGCAAGGAGCTCCGCCGGCACGGGGAAAGTGCGACTCACTGTGAAAACTGGTGTTCGACCAAAACACCAGTCCCAACTTTGCAGTTCTTGCTTTAGTTCATCAAGACCTAGTTGACAAAGTAACACTTTTATTATATTGACAAAAGCACTTGCATACCTAGAATTGATTATTCTATCTGACGACACACAATAAAGCATATGGTATCTATCTATAAATATTCATATTATTAAAACAAGATATCTAATCATATCAGGAAAATTCTAGAAAATTAACTTTGCAAGATTGAAATCGAAAACAAAAGCAATAAATTCAAACCAATTCAAATTCAGAATTCTTAAAAATCAATCGTATTTACCTGGGAACCAATTATCGGTAGGGTTCACAAACTGGAAGCCTCTCTGTTTCATGATCATGCCTTGTCCACCATCTTCGATGTGCAGAGCTGGGGTACGGAGATACTCGTATCCTACAGCAGTCTGCAGACTTTCCACGGTCACCTTGTGGTCGATGTCTGCCAGGTTGGCCACCGCAGAGCGCGTTGACTCCGTCGCCTTTGTCTGTATGCCATGCTAAATAGAATTATGTGTCCTTAACAATATGTTTGTGATCGGAAGGAAGAGGTTTGGGTTAATATTAGTGAAGCAGATTGTTAGTGAAGGCACAAAATATATATTACTAAGAACAAAACACACGCTAAGAAATTTTATTAAGATATGGAAAATATGTGTAACTCTTATGAGATGTAAACAAATCATTCATTGGGAACAATGTTCAATACAGAAAATTAAAGAGGGGACTATTTTAAAATAAGATATATCACGTGCACGCAACACGTGACTTTGATAACCCAGTCCGGGTTATTTGAAATAAATGGATACGGCATTGTGTTTGCACTATTCATTTAACACATCTTCAAACATTTCATTATGTGTAGAAATGTATAGTAAATTTAGGATCAAGGATGGGAAATGTAGGGAAAATAAATGGGTGATAAAGAATGAGTTATGTATTAGTGTTTTATAATTATAACCGGTAACAAAAAGAACAGAATATATAATATAAAAATATATTAGATAGGTAATAGCTTTTTGCTAGTATTTAAATAAGCTCACCTCTCTTTTTGCCAGGGCTTTGCTGAGATCTGCCTTGTTTGCGTTGACTAGAAGTGTACAATGATGATATGCTGTTAAACGACCCAATTTTGCAGCTGTTCCAGAAATCTTTACATATTATTAAGGAAATATCAAGAAAGTTGTAATTGCCTGTGCAGATATTGTTAGGTGACCAAAATAGACAAAGTTAATATAGATTAGATACTGAAAGATCATATCTAAGAATAAAACAAGTAAATAGATCAATAAACACTGAATTTTATAGCTTCCTAACTAGTCATGGATGTCAAACACTAAACATATTTTAATCTGGTAAGTAGGAAATATATTAGTAATGCATTACGCAAAATAAATATTATGTTGAATGGATATTTTCAAAAATGGAAATTAAAAAAATTAAATAAATTTTTAACTTTGTTTTGTGTGATTTAAAAAAGGATACTTTATAATTATCTCGAACAACGATGTCATCACGTTTATTAATAATAGATTTGATTCCAAATCCTCTGAATAATGCTCTTTTGATTAGTTCCAAGTTGTACTTTCTGTCATATCTTTCCCGAGAAGTGAAAAAGGTAATGTTGAGGTTTCCACGGTCATGATAGACAGTACCTCCTCCACTGTTGCGGCGGGCTAGAGATATATCTTTCTCTGTTAAATGAGAAATGTTTGCTTCAAGCCACGGATTCTGATGACGACCGATAACAACACAAGGCTCATTCCTCCATACCATCATGACATGATGGTTGGTAAAGTCCATGTTCCGGTACATCCAGTCTTCAAGAGCCAAATTGGTGTATATGTCAGTGGATTGAGACATAAAAACTGATTTTGTTATCTCTCCCTCCTCTGGTAGCACTCTCTCTTTCTTTTTCATACTTACATTGTTGCTGCTTGTAACAAGACAGCGTGAGCTGCTTCGTCTTATTATTCCCAACCCAACACATGTTCCACTCAGTACAAATTTTCTCATCATTGTTTGGGCCATGTTTACTTATATTACACAAACGGGCACTTTTCTGTATGAACCTTGGAAAGGCAGTGTTTAAGCGTAAGTTTCTTAACCTTTACAATATACTTTAATATAATTAATAAAAATAAAGTCCAATTATCTAATGCATATGGCAACAAGCATCAGTGTCAGCCGATGACAATGAGATCAAATATTCGTGAAGGGCAATGGTTTGGTGCAGCCACTTCCAGGTTTGGTGCAGGGTGTTAATTCGATAACGAATACCCAAACAGTCGCGACAGTCACTTGGCATTCCTCCTCTTGGATGCAGGATTAACACAAAAATTACCACACAACTGAGTTAATCAAACTAAGACTTTGAAACGACGACACTAGCGTCAGCAAAAGTTTAAATTAATTGAACAATGAAACTAAGCAACACATCAGAACCGAGCACGAACGAGTTACGATGTCTGATGAGTTAAATTACCTTCTGTCGTCTCATTTTATGCACACTGATAATGATAAGCGGGCCGAGGAACTGAGAGGTCGGGCGAGGGCATTCGAAGTTCACTCGAAGACAAGCAAACAAACAACTATAAAAGATAAGCACGATTCAGCCACGCGCACAATTTTATCAGTACTCTATGTAATTATAAGATAAATTCCACAACTACTTGAAACAATGTATCAAACCCGATTTGCTAATTTATTCAAAGTTTTATAACATGTTTTGTAACTTCTTTAATCCTTGAAGTTGAAAAAAAATGTAATAGTGACGTACTCGTTACTTGCAGTTCGAATAAAATTGTTCGATATGAAGAAAAACGTAGCGATTTAAAGCGAATCGATTTCTCTAACTGAAAATATTCTAATTTGATATCACATGGTTATTTCTTATTGTGCTTTATTAAACGCATGGACTTTTAATCAAGTTCACATCAAGTACATGATTATCTGAGTTATTACAGTTAGTACTGAAAACACTTTTACATTTCAAGTTAAAGAAATCTGAGACATTTTGCATTAGTGAAACTTAACTTGTCATTTTGCTGAAGCATATGATTTAGGAGAGACAACAAAACCTTGAATCAGAAGAGTACTTTTGAGTATTTTTTTAGTCCATCAATAGAATCGGAAATGTTACGGAAAGAACATGGACGTAAAACTAAACGCCATTAACATTTAAAAAGTCAACGTCAAGTTGTCATTATGACATTTGGAATTAGTCACATTGACGTTTGACACTTTCCTATAATTCTTTTTGATATTTGCCGTTCAAACAACATTTTTCGTGATCTCATTGAGTAAAATACATATATTGTCCAAAAATGGCCTTTAGAACTACTGCAGTTGCTCGCAGTAAGTATCAAATCACATCATATAAAAATATAGCTGCAGGCCAATACTAGTAGTTTAATCTTCGTACCGTTATATAACTCATTTTTAATTATATATTTTCAGGTGCCTTAAAGAAATGGGCTTATAACCTATCTGGGTTCAACAAGTATGGTAAGTTGAAATAGTGGTGTAATATGGCTTTTCCCATTTAAATAATCTCTAATGGCATGTGTAATTGTTAAAGGCCTCCTTCGTGACGACTGTCTTTATGAAAATGACGATGTACAAGAAGCATTGCGCCGTTTGCCAGAGCATGTAGTCGACGAGCGCAATTTCCGCATTGTTAGAGCAGTTCAGCTCTCAATTCAAAAGACTATTCTGCCGAAGGAAGAGTGGACGAAATATGAAGAGGACAAGCTGTACCTAACGCCCATTGTAGAGCAAGTTATAAAAGAAAGGCAAGAACGTGAACAGTGGGAAAAGAATTACTAGATTAGTTAAACCTGTGAAAATAGAGAATTTTGTTAGCCTCAATGGATGTATCCTATTTATTATGTTTTGAAAACTTTGTGATCATGCCATAAAACATATAATAGTCTATTATTTGCTAATTGAAGACCTAAGACAATCTATTTAGCATATATTTTTGTTTGCTTTTATCATCGGAAGAGCAAATTGTTTGTTTTGCAAAATGAAGTAAAATATTACCAAAAGAAATCTAAATAATTTATTTGTCCTTTTATTATTAAAAATTGTGACTATTTCATAGATTTGCAGCAACTGTATAACCTGCTATTAACAGGTTACTTTTAAATATTAAACAGATGCTTTAATATATAAAGTAAGCAGGCAAACAAGCAGCGGGAACACTGAGGTGTACATCAACACCCATGGACAGCTGCAATACCAGAGGAACTGAAGATCTGTTGCCAGCCTTTGAGAAGTTTATATACTTGCTTCTTGTAAGCTCTTAAGCTGTAACTAATGTTACAAGAGTATCTTTTTTTCTTTTATATCAAAAGGTGGCAAACAAGCGAGCGGCCACCTGAAATCGCTGAAATGGCGAAGTGACCGTTGCCCATAGACATACGCAATTGCATATGCGTTGCCTACCTTTAATCGACGGAAGAGAGAATGCACAGCAAAAAAATATCTTCCCTTTCCAAGCAACCTCTCATCCGGAAAGTCCACTTCCACTTCCCATCCTTTCCCTATAAGAAAAAGGGTGGGAAGGGAAATAGGATAAAGGGATCTTGAGAGAAAGACATCCAATGCAGGTTGAGAAAGAGTGATATAGGGTAGAGGGAAATACAATGTAAACAGACCAGTTTTTTACTACAATTCATTTATAAATTGGCACATGAATTATATCAATTTACATTATCTTTAAAAACAAATTATTATCAAAACCAAACACTATATAAACAAAATGGTATCTTGTTTAATAGCTAAGGAAAATCTTATGTTATTTTTTTACATTTTATTTTTAACTGAACAAAAACTACATTTCAAAAAGTATAAATTATAGAATAAAAAAACAATTATGGAATAAGATAACATAAAGTTATAATTTCATGGTCCCATCAAAACATGGAATCAATTTTTCTTTTTTTATAAACAAATGAAATGCATATGGAATAACAAAAAATGGAATTAGGTAAATTACACAAAAGTCACTTATATAAAGTGTATTGTTTGGTAATAAATTATAATATTTACTACTCTAACATCAAGTCAAATTATATACCAGATGTGTACAAACAAAATGGTACGAATTACACACTGTTGCCTATTGTTTTCAATACATACATAATAAAAAATAATATATTCAGTGGATAAACATTATATACAATTTATTTGAATAGTAATATTTAAGAGAAAAACTCAACAATGTCGTTCATACAGATTCCCAACTCAAATCAGGTAAAATGAACAAATTTGTAAATATGAATAAATCTTCTCAGAAGTGTATTCGAGTTAACAACAAAATAGCCTTCTTTAGTAAGACGGTCTAATGTAAAGGCCAATAACTGTTAGTTTTAGGCATTAGATAAGATCAAATATACATTCACAAGATTTATAATGACACCAAGGTATGATTCAACCAACCCGCACTTGGCCAGTGTGGTTGACTGGCCTAGTCCCCACTAACTCAGGATAGGCTCCAAGTCCCTTAGTGATGCCTTATAGTGAGCTGATGACGATGATTAGACATCAGTACAAAAGTTTCAAAAACTTTATTAACATGACACAATATTTAATATGTATAACTAGGATTTATTGGGGCTGGTATTACAAATTAGAGGTGTATATTTTGTACACTTAACAATATTGGTATGTATCACTGATTTCATCTTACAATACACACATTTGATTTTATATTGTTTTTTTTTTAATTGATTATAAAAGCGGTTGATGTTGTGTTGTTTTGTTGAAAAAAAATGTTCATTTGCTTTTATAATTTCATGAAATGTAAAGCAGTTTAACTGTGTCATGATGGTATTATTTAAAGAATTGAAAACTTTTGGTTTATTTCTGTTTTGAATAATATTAATTTATTTCCATTTGAGGAGCTTTAAAAGCTTAAATTTTTAAATATTAAGATATATTACAAATAAAAAGAAAATGGCTCAATTTTCTATATTCGAGCACTTACAGACATAAAAAAAAAATTCATGCGATGAAAACATTTTTACTGTTGCTTTGATTTTTATGTTGATAATGATGATGATATTTAAAAACATGCATTAATATTTATTCCTCCAAATTATATTACATGAGTATTAATATTAGTGGAAATAGAATTAAAAATATTTCTCCTTATACTAGAATTACAATACTTATTATCTATGTTATATTTAAAAATGTAAATATAGACAAAACCTGTTGATAAAAATTCGATTAATTTATTTTTAATTTCAGACATGTCTATGACGACATACATATGTCTTATCGTTGGTTTCTGAGACCAAAATTCCGGTATAACATATCGTTATTCCTGTTATCTTTGACAAAGCAGATATAACAATATGATTTAAACTAGAATTAGGGTTTCAGAAACCAACGAGTATTCGAATAGACTTATGGATATGAATTATCGTATCTATATAATTATTCTAACCTTAATTGTGATATCAATTAGGCCTACAGATATGTCTTACATATACAAAATATTAAAAAAAAAAATGGACAACGCTACTGGATGGTATCAATATGGATTGTTGATTTCATATACATCATAACATAAAATAAAGATTTATAGTAGATATGTAAAAATAACAATTTTTAGAATTTAGGAATGGCTTGGCAAGTGGATGGCAGCCAATTTTAGAATTCATAGCCACAAAAAAAATAAAAATTCAGAATATCTACATAAAATAGTTTTACGTATGTACAAATATTTGTTTGGATCTTATTTATTTTTACACGAGTGTATATCATTGGCATCTTTAGTAAAAACATATAGAAAATATTTACAATTCTTCGTCTCCTATCGCCTCAAAGGCGTTGTTTTCAACACAATCTTTACCGGTCTTGAAGGAGACGGACGCGAATTTCTCTGTTAACTTCTGAACGGAAAATATTTCCCGCGAACTGCCGGATGTCATGGAATCTCCATTCTGTAATTTATATAAAACATTTATTGTTCTCTTGTCGTTAAGGAAAAAGCAAAGACTGTGGGAAAATAAATTATTATAGAAAGGTTTTATGAAGAAATATGTAACCTTGGAATCTGGTTATTTAATGTAAAATGAACATAATAATTCATTTGAATTGTAGAATAAATGTTGTAAGCAAGCAAATATTAGATGCTATTTAAACTACTTTTTGCTATCAATAAAAATGTATTATAGTAATTTGGCTAAAGATAAAATGAATCAATATATATACAAGCTCTCCCCCGCGACTCCGTCTGCGTTGGATTAAAAATACTTACTACTACTAGTACTGAATATGCATATAAAATTCAATGAAAATCAGTCAAGCCGTTTTGGAGGAGTATGGTAACTAATATTGTGATACGAGAATTTTATATATCTTACTAATATTATAAATGCGATTGTTTGGATGGATGGATGGATAGATGTTTGTTTGAAGGTATCCCCAGAACGGCTCTACGGGTCTCGCTGAAATTTGGCATAGATGCAGAACATGTTCTGGAAGAACATATGCTACTAAATGAGTTTTTTTTTAATTCCGTGCGAACGGAGTCGCGCGTAAGTTATATAAATTTAGTAGTGATTATAAATACATACAACAGAGCTAAGCGTGTCACTGGAGGAGGAGGGCGTGATGAGCTGACTAGAGCCGTCACGGCGCAGGTAGGTGAGTCCGCCGCGCTTGCAGCGTGGCGACGCCGGCCCACTACCGCTCTTCTGACGCATCAGCTCGTCTACTATCGACTGAAATTAATTGAATTCACTAAAGTATATTGTCTTAAAACCAAAACCACATTAATAGTTAAAACTTTTTGAAGGTATTTACAATGTAATAGCAAACGAAAAAATCTATCGTTTAGAAGATGATTATACCATTCCGTAACCTATACCATATCCATTCAATCCTCCTATAAAACTTGATTATAACATAAAAAAACTAGATTGTTACTTTGTAAGAACTTAAACATTATGTACAGTCAGCTTCATAAAATATACATTTACAACGCTTCAAAAACTTATATACGCCTTCGGTTCCAGAACTTTTTATACTCATATCTTTCAGTTTGCTCCCGACCACGAAATAATGACTACTATTTTCGAAATATGTACAAGTTTCTAAAGTTTTGAAATTATATACATATTTAGTGTAGCTGACTGTACATACAGTAGTCGTGTCAAATTTTGTTGCTTTAAAAACGTGAATCATACTAAATTAAACAATTGGATTATGAAGCCATGAAAACAAATATGTTAAATGGATTTATTTGTACAAACATATTTGACACGATATGATCTCATCGTAACATTTTCTAGAAAACTGTTATAATAAACACTTGATAATCATGCAGTAATCCAATACTATGAAAATTATCGCAATTGTATATTGCCCACTAATTATATAAAAACGCGTACTTTTGAATATTAATTAATGTCAAATCAAAAATCATTAAAATAAACCCATTACATAGATATATCGCTCGTTACACGCAAAATATTTTTTACACTATAGCAAACTATAAATCTTTATTTCATATCGAATTAAAACTGGTTTTAATACATCATTATATACAGTTTCGAGTTATTCGATTTAAGAAAATGAAATTTACCTGTAAGCAAACGCTTATAAATATTGCGTGTTCAGTTCTTAATGTTATCCATTCAAGATTGTCTTTACTTATGAGATATTCAAAGGATAACTCAAAATGCTTATTGGTGTCATCTAATAAGGAACCATGGCCGTTGCTCTGTGGTTTTTCCATCTGTAAGAAAAATTAATCAGGATGGTCAAACGGTGGTTTTATTTTTTTTAAAAGGCGTAGAACCAACTTTTAATGTAGGTATGTAGATTATAAACATAATTTTAATTACAAATCGATTTCCTAACGAGTCGAAGGGTCTGAACGATGCGGTCGGAACATTTTATTTAAATATTGCAAAGGGTTTCGAAAACAATTTTACGTCGGTTCCTTGTACATTGTTTTTTGCTGTACACAATATTTATTGTACCATTGTTTGTTGGACTCTAAAATAGGTTATACTATTGTAATATTTGAGAGACATCTAGCGTTATCATATCGAATTTAGTTTATCTACTAACTTCTTGTTCTTGGCCGAGTATATTATTGATAAAAAGAGTTCAGGGACCGCAAAATAAAACGCACCGGAAAGAGATCTCGAATCACTTGTGTACATTTAATCAGTTAAACGTCTTTAAGAGCCGTTGTTATTGATTTAAGAGGGTTCTTTTGTTTCCTCTGACTAACTGTGGGTCTATCGTCATTCTGATAGCATAAAATATTAAACTTAGTTTTTTTTCTTATTTTACGTTATTTATTTCTACGTTTGGGCACCTCAAAAATCAAGCCAGATAAAAAGGTTGAATAAAGCGTAACAAATTATATAATACCTGGTATTAAGTACACCAATTAAAGATTACAAAATGAATCGTGGAATAAGGAAAAGTCAAAACATTACGTAAGCATTGCTGCTAAAATATTGTGCTAATATGCAATATACAAGATTGATGCCGGTCGTTTAATTTATGATTTAAGAATAAATACTTCAATTTCTATAACAGATAAACGTACACAAGTTAATAATTGCTGTATATCTATTAAATTTATTTACAGAAAAACAAATGGCATTCGATTTCCGTTAGACTTACTGTATGCAATGTGGTAATCCTCCAGCACCTCATCCTGGTAACTTTGTAGCGCTGCTCCCGCACGGGTTGGGTCACGCTGGTCAACGTTAACTCCTTGGAGGCGAGGGAAACACGTACGCGGCACGGCCCGCCTCCCGCTCCGCTCGTCGCTGCGCCCGTCACGTGGTGTGCTTCCGTTACCGCCTCACCCGCGGGCACTCTACCGTAGTACCGGCAGCTACGCGCCACTTCTATGTACTACAAGTATATAAACAACGTAAGTTTCTGTCTCTGTGTCGTTGTGACCTGTGACTTAAATGGGATGATGGTCGTTTTTAAAAGCTCGCGCCATTCTATTCGCTTCTCCGGTGCATCACTCAAGGTCTATGCTGTTTATCTAATTTATAATAAAACCCATAACACAGTAGCTAAAACCATACACAGCTTTTTTTAGAATAAACATGATCATCAGAGTAATGTAAACAAACTTTATATACATATATTAAATATAAATATTGTGAGGTGTGAATAGGTTTGTCACCATTATTCCATCAAACAAAGTTATTATTGTCTGGTCTGTGACACCATGGCCATTCAGGTAATATATAATTATGAATTATATGCAATAAGCTTAGGTCTGAGTTCATCTGGATGTGTCATAACCAAGCATCGTTTGAGGATATGGGTCGCGGTCGTTTTGCTATTATGACAAATTCAACTGGCCACTTGCCCGTTTATCACCTTACACTACAAAATAAAACCATCGCTAAAATGCCTTGCACATAAACTTTGTCCATGTGAGCGTAGAATTGAATATTTGGCTCGGAATCGAATAAAATATTAATTTTAACCATTTAAATGATGTGCAGATTATACAGCTCATAATTTAAAAGTACAAAACTGATTCAACTTAGATTTTTAGTTTTATTTAAAGTAGACGGAAACATTTCTGTGTGGGGGTAAATTATAAAACAATCCTAGAGGAGTCGGTGAACCCGCATCCAGTCGTCCCGCGCTGCAACCCTCGATTGCTCAAGCACCCATTCATTTCTTTTGCTCGGTAATTATGCGTAGTCGTACGTCCCGACCCGACGTCGCGTGAACGAGTAACGTTTTTAACATTAAAACATTTTTCACAACGACATGTTGTAATCTACGTGGTTAAGGACTTCTTTTTATAGTAGAACATTTTATAGACAACTGAAAAATTTGTCTTTTCGTCCCGTGCTCCGACACATTCATATCCCCTTCCCATCCCAGAGAATTATTAAAAAAGAGTAAGAAGATAAAGAGGACTAAATTTGGGTATGGCATCAGTCAAAAGCCTTACTTCCATTTAAAGGCTTCAAAACAAAATTAAATAGATTACCATTATAAACACCAATAAAATTTAAACAAGGCTATTGGATCCCAATTGCCTGACCTGACCTTTATGTTTCATATGTAACATTATGTAACCTTGTCTGTATTGCATATCTACACCGCAATGGACGTGAGGTTAATTAATTTTTCTTGCATACCTAAACATTGCAATAATAAATGTTTCCACATGCTCATTGTATTTCGTAAATTAAAGTTTTAAAAACTTAATTGATAACAACATATTCCATTAATATTTTAAAGATGATTGGATTAAAAAAAAAATCTAAAGGGAAAACTACAAATACAGGTATTGGATATGACTTTAACATTTTTTCCGCTACTATGGTTTACACAAATACACTACTGTTCACAAATTTTAATATACATATTGTTGTTTTACTTGTTAGTTTCATAATCTTGAGTATTATATTGATGACTGGAGTATTATTGTATTTCATAATATTAAAAGAATGCTATGACACATCTGCAGGTCATAGTTTTAAATAACTTTTATATCATATTAAGATAACTAATTGCACTTACGCATGTTCGACTGTATTTATAAAAATATATTAGATTTAATTAAAAAAATATATTTATTTGATCATAAAATTTCTATCTTGTATGGAATATAAATATAATCTTAACTCTTTTTGATATGAGTCTAAATATGAGGAAAAATATTTAAAAGGCAAAAACACTCACCTCTTTCTTTTCTTTCCTTGATTCGTGTGAATTTAAAATGTCCCTCATTTGTGAGTTCACTACAATCCATCCTAAATCAATATCTTGTATTGTTTGTAAATATAACAGATCTAATGACACTCTATCAGACATAACATCCATATCATAACATGGATCCCAGTAACTAAAAAAAAAGTAATCAATTTTAAAATCAACACATCAAAGTTGTAGTTTTGCATATGAAAGCAAACATGTCAGGTGCGCTGGTGGCACTGATTGGGGTAAGTAAATAATTTATGCTTAATATTATACTTTAATTTACTTTACCTTTTACGAAGAACTATTTTATCATCAGGCCTAACATACTTCTGAGATATGTATGGAGATTCATATTCCTCTAACTTCTTCAAACATGGCTGACCATCTTTTGCACAGCTCCAGTTAAATAAGTATAAGGAGAAAAATTTTACAAAGTCTTTTGATAAATTAATGTAATTACAGGCAATATCTAAAACGGCACCAGAGGCATCTGTTGATGATACAGATAATGGTATTCTGTAACCGTTCATCAAAAATATTTCTATATCAACTTCATGCACTCTGACGCAATGAGTTTCTTGTTGAGCGGAAAAAAGGAATGTTGTAAGTATATCAGAGTATGCCAAAATAGGATTCTGTCCCACTGAAAAACAACAATCAGATTAAAAATAGCAATGGTAAATTTGAAAGTTACAATGTATTAAATATATAATTGGAATATTCCTTTAAATAAAAAACATTACCTAATTGTATGTATTTTTCTAATAGAATTCTTCTTTCCTCAATCTGAGAATTTGTAAGGAACAGTTTTTTTGGTGGAAACTGTGGTAGCTTGAGGTAAGGATTTTGAGCCTGAAGTTGTTCATGAAGGCTGAGCAGTTGTTTATAACGCGTAGTACAATGAAAAAATCCATCGATGTAAATATTATATCCCTGAATAAAAAATAAATAAAAATTTACATTTATTACTTACTACTTTTTATTTGCTAAGCGGTTAAAAAAAATAAGACTCCATTATTTAAGCCACCAGTGCAAGACCTTAAAAGAACATCATTATCAATATGATTAAGAGGGAGGATGTTATTTACCGTATAAGTGATTCCATTATCATCACGGAATTGTTGCACATCAGGAATCGAAAAATGCATTTTCACGAACAATATTAATATATCTTAGCACAACACATTCTAATTAATAGCTATAAAAAGGTCTCCGGCTGTTGTTATTTTTTTCCTTCCTAACACTCTGCTAACACTAAAAAATCAAGAAATCACTGTTGTTATTTTATTTACTCACTCTCAGTCTGATCTGAGTGATGTTTCAATTCGACATGTTCGTTTGTTCATTCGCAGTTCGCAGATCCTGGCAGATTTTGACGTTTTTCATTCAATTCATCTCAATCTCATTCAAAACAAACTAGTGATGCGGCCTTACTAAGATTTGGTTTAAATTTTGGTACATAAAAGCAAAGCGCACAATTTTTTTTAATAATTTGAAAAATACTACTACTATGAATAATTTGTCTTTCTCTATTTGAAAAATTCTTGTTGTTCTATCCCTTTTATTCTGTCTATTTTCTTGGTTGTATAAAAATCAAATGGCAACACATTTTATGACTCACGGTCACGTGATAACGCGTCCTCACTCGGTTGGTTAGATTTTTAGATTCGCTTGGAGAGATCAAGAAATCCAACGCTTGCAACAAATTGCAAGTACTTAATTTGTGCTTAACTTGTTTGTTGTGAATTAAAAGTATTTCACCATGTCATCAAAATCTAAAAAGACTGTTACATCTTCGTCTAATGTGAGTGTTGTGTCATCTATGCAAAGCCCACCTCAATCAAGCACTCCCGTTGGCAGCCGTTCTTCTAGCGCAGCCGGCCGCCCTAGCAGCCCTCTAAGTCCTACAAGACATAGCCGATTACAAGAAAAAGATGCCTTACAAAACCTCAATGATCGCCTTGCGGCTTATATCGACAAGGTTCGTCAGCTTGAAAGTGAGAATTCTGGGTTGCGGCGTGAGATACAAACTACACAGGAGGTCGTCACCCGGGAGGTATCCAATATCAAGGGAATGTATGAACATGAGCTTCAGGAAGCTCGAAGAATGTTGGATGAAACATGCCGTGAAAAAGCTAGAATGGATATAGATTTAAAAAGATTACGCGAAGAAAACAGTGAATTAGCTAAAAAGTAAGTATTTTAATGATTTCTGTTTAATGTTAATAAAATTTTAGTTGCGGACTAAAATAAATATTTATAAAGCTGATGGTCACTTAAAGGAATTTCTTCCGGCTAAGCTAACCTTAGTATAAAGTTTACGTCATCGGCGGCGTTTAACGCGCGGGAGCGGTGACGAGTGCGGGCGACCTCGCCTTTACGACAATGACATCATATCCCAATTTAACATACCTAAATAACATTAATCGTATACCTATATGCTTCGATTCCAAAATATTATTGATTCGTTTTTGTATCACACTTGTAAATACTATCGATAAGCATGTAAAAGCTTTCAAAAACATGTGAAATAAACAAAAATAGGATTATGATATCATTATGTTTTTCAAATCAAGACCTTATCTGTATAAACAAATTATTTCCATACCATTACACTTAAATTTGAAAAATACCGAAATGATGATATTTTTGTTTACATAGCTTAGCTTTAGTTGGAATATGGTTTTCAAATTAATACAACTGTACTCATTTAATTAATTATTTGAGCATCAGTTGAACACTTTGTAACATAAACATCCTGATATTTAATGTGGGTAGTACTCAAATGCTTGGATACAGTTGTTAAAAATTATTAAATAAAATATACATGTTTATTTGAAATGATTTCCGATTATTGTATAAAATAGGTAGCCATAATCATATATTTGTTTTTAGTAACACTTAAGCTGGACTAATACTAAGTTTTCAAATACTAAAAATATCTCAAAAAACCTTATGTCTACAAACAAGGATATCTTTGCAATAATGTCTCATTGAAAATGCTGATAGTAAACTTGTATACATTGTAATGGTGTCAAGGTAATGCTGACCTAGCTCCATTGCACCAGTTTTTACATTTAAAGCTAAAGCTAATGAAAATGATAAACAATGATTATTTTGCACACTTGAGGATGATTTGTCACTAAAAAAAACTATACTAAAGTTTACACTAAATAAATAAACAAAAAACAATTTGTCCTTGATCAACATCTTATCCGTTTTGTACTATTTTGCCACTCTAATTAGATAGCCTGTATATCTAGGTATTATTTTTTTGTCACTAAGACAATTTAATAGAGTGCCTATTATTTAATACAATATTTATGGGTCAATGCCACAGATATAATTTTGATCTCAAATGTTAAACTGAAATTGTGTGATCGATAAAATCTTATAAGACAAATAATAGAACAATATTTTACTTTATAAAATTACTATTTTGATGCTTTTTCTTTGACTATAATACAAAATTAATTTGCGAACTAATTTGTTAGATTGTATAAATTGTAATACCCAAATTGACTTAATTTGTGATAATAATTTATGTGCTTACATAATTGCAGCCTAAAAAATATAAATAGTTCAATATCAGGTATATTCATCCATCCAAACATTTGCATTTATATTTGTAAGATATAACAATACATATGTTTAAAAAAATTTCATATGATTCTCATATTTATGTTACCAACAAATAAAAGTATGATACAGAGTACCAAAGTTCATGCAATCAAATATATTTAATTATTTATAAGTTTTAAAGTATATGTATAAAGGTGACGTAACATTCGTAAATAATAATGACGTGATCATTGCTATCGCAAGGTGACGCGACCTTAATATTAAATATAAAAGTCTTATATTTTAAGACCTAAACAATTTTAAAGCAACCCACAACCACTTTTAAATTTATATGCTGTATTTAAATCTACAGAAAACTGCTCCATTGATTCTTTGCATTAAAAAAAATATTATAAACATTTTTAATTACTTTCTTTTGACTTTGATAAATAGCATTTTTTAGATCTTTGTTTTCGAAGTCCTTTTCACTGTACGTATTGTACATATCTTATCTTATCGAATGTAAATAAAGATAAAATTGTAATCACCAGCTACCCCGCGTCGCTTCCTCCCGCATTGTACTACGCTTAATCTAATTATGTTATTATAAAAATATATAGTATGTCGCACATCTGTTTCTTTCTATTATTATTTAGTATAAAAAATATAATAGACCAAAGTATTTTTCTAATCGTTTTTTAAATATTTTTTAATTTTTATCTTTGCAACATTTTATTATAAAACAATAATTCGTTGAATGTCTTATAGCGTTATTGTTATCTATCGACACACTACGCAACATATAAATTGATAAAAATGAGTAAAGGCAACAATGTTTATAAGCGACCAAATATCATATCACGTTGTTATTTGTCGTCTTACTATCAGACGCATTCACTTAAAAATAAACTATACGCCTAAAGTTTTAAAACTAAATATCGGCCAAGGTCTTATCTCTGCGGGATAGCTAATCGTTGGTGGATCTGTAATCCCTAGAATAAAAAAAAAACAAGAGTAGAATGATCACGCCCTGTAGAGAGGGCGAAAGTTCGGAATTAAAGAGAGATTAGAAAACCTGATAATTCCGGGACTCCGTGTTATTTTTTATTTTGAATAGAATTTTTTTCTGAACATGCCATAAATAGTTTTGGTAAGAGTTTGTAAACAGTTGATTTTTTTCAATAAAATTCTAACAAAATTAAATAACACACTATTCATAGGTGTCCTCATTCGTCTGTTGATAAATTGCTAAGCTACTGTCGACGATAATCGCGTCTTTGTAAATTCGTTCAGTCTACACAGTCGAATTATTTAAAAAAAAAATCACCAACTGTGTTGGTATAATTTGAAATGTTTACTCCAATGGCGATAATCACTATAGTTTGCGTTTATTGATAACTCTGACAATATTTTATAAAATCTTATAGCTTAAGTTGAATTAGGAGTTATCAAGTTTCAATAACATAGCTTTGTGCCTACGCGACTAAACATCGTCGGTGTCTGTTGCGAGGCACGTCCACGTGTTTACACTAACATTCCGTTCCGCGTATTGTTGCGCAATGGACGACTCGCATTAACATGAATAACAATCATTATTAGCCAAGATAAACTTGAAAAATTCAAATGCTTACTTTATCGTTTTAAGAATAAGGTTGTTTTATCAACAATCTTAACAGTCACAGTATTTGATTAAGTCAGTTTTACTAGTTTTGGTTTATTTATAAATATGATATCATTTACAGATTGGAGAAGAAGACCAAGGATTGGCAGCAGGCGGACAATTTGGTGCGGCATTATGAAACGCGTTACACAGAAGAGAGTAACAAGTACAACACCGCTTTGGCTGATAAGAAGAAAGCTCAAGATGAAGCCCGTGTATGTGGTTCAGTATTAATGAACGCGATCTTAGATTTACTACCCTTAATACACTTCTTAAGAAATAAAATGATAATGATAATCTTTGTATGGAAAACACGATTTATTCAAGCGCATTGAAGGTGGCAAGTATATTTCGCCTTACTCATTTAACCGTGGACGGATTATTTTTGTTTCATACTTTATTCGATGAATTTCAACTTTTACTGATTACACATGACGGCTAAATCTAAGTTTCTTTCTTAGGAATTGGCCAAAGAGCTGGAGAAGTTGCGTAAGCTGTACAATGACACGCGCAAGACGCTGGAGGAAGAGATGCTGTGCCGCATCGACATGGAGAACACGGTGCAGAGCCTGCGCGAGGAGCTCACCTTCAAGGACCAAGTGTTCCAGCAGGAGCTGCACGAGACACGCTCTCGCAGACAGGTCGAAATCTCGGAAATTGGTGAGTTGAATACTGATAGGAATAAGTACTAACTAAAAGTGATTGAATATATTATTTAATGGCTTGTTTTGACTAATAACAACTTGTTTATTTTTTACGTATTGTCATTTTATACACGGGATAAAATTGTTTACTTCTCCACAAAATGAAGATATTAACATTTTTTTCAGCAACCAACTGTTCTGGCGAGTTCAAGTTCATATTAAAAATATCGTAGTATGTACTGAACATGTCAAAAGGTACATTTTGAAGACACATGTAATAGATTTACTTCAATTGCAGATGGTCGGTTGGCGCAGCAGTACGAAGCCAAGCTGCAGCAGAGTCTGCAAGAGCTGCGCGAACAACAGGAAGCCAACATCAAGGCCAATCGCGACGACATTGAAGCTCTCTATGAGAATAAGGTGTGTGTTAAATGTCGTAAAAATTACCAACTCCATTTGATCAATTTTGCTAATTTAAATTATTGTGCTGAATCTTTTCTGAACTATTGCTTTATCATGGTATTAAACTACCATGCAAGAAATTTTGAAATGCTTACTGGATACTCTTATACCTATTTTTCAACATAAATTTTATGTGTATAGTTGAAAAATCTGCAAGCGGCGGCCAACCGCAACAGCAGCGCCGCAACTGTAGCGGTGGAGGAACTGCGCACCATGCGCACGCGCATCGACAGCCTCAACTCCAACCTCAATGAACTTGAGAACAAGAACGCCGCACTAAGTGTAAGTGTTGATGTTATTACTGCGACCTAATGTTTTAAATTGATAACCCTAACTATTACAAAACTTCAAACTATGAAAGTTTTATTACTGCCTTAATACTGTAAAAATTGTCTTAATACTGTTTATTACATAAGGTTAATTGTGATGTAGAACCGTTGCCGTGAGCTGGAGCGTCAGTTGGAGTCGGAGCGCGCGCGTCACGCGGAGGACCTGGCCTCGCTGGAGCAGGAGCTGGCTCGCCTTAGAGACGAGATGGCCACGCAGCTGCGCGAGTACGCCACGCTCATGGACATCAAGATTTCGCTCGATCATGAGATCGCCACCTATAGAGCGCTCATTGAAGGCGAAGAGGATAGGTTAGTAGAAAAAGAATTTTATATTACTTTCAAATTAGTATACGAAGTTTTGTTATCATGTCTTATAAATATTTTTTTTTTCTTGAAACCGTACCTAATCTTTTGAAAGTGTATTTTTGTCTAATAGATTGCTTACATAATTTATTTCTTTGTTACTAATGGTTAAACTTTGATGACCAAGTCGTTTATGCTAATTCTAAGCTTGAAATAGTTTAATTAATCACTATTAAAATAAGTAACTGGTGATATAAATCTAAAAAATTATGTATTTGCAGGTTGAACCTAACCGGGCAGTCCCCGGGGCGGGAGTCGCGGGCGTCAGTAAGCGGCAGTGGGCGCGCAACACCGGGCCGACGCGGCACCCCACTGCGTGCCCGCAAGCGCACACTGCTCGATGAGACCGAGGAGCGCAGCCTGCAGGACTTCAGCGTCACCTCCAGCGCCAAGGGGGATCTCGAGATCTGCGAGACCTGTCCCAACGGCAGCTTCGTTAAGATACGCAACAAGGGCAAGAAGGTATGCTGATAAGCCAAGCTTCTGAATGTGGTCGTAATAAGAAAGCTTTGTGTTGATCGTCTTTTGAGACCATCTTTCTTTGATACAATACAAACTATTTTTAAAGTATTCTACTAGACTGTATTTGTGTATTTTACTAAAAACTCATAAACATTGAGATAAAATAGTAAATAAAGGAACCTATGCATTTTTTTTTTATAAAACAACTTGTCTTTAGGAACAAAGCCTGGGCGGGTACCAGATAATCCGCAAGGCGGGCGATCAAGAGACTGTGTTCAAGTTCCACCGCACGGTAAAGGCAGAGCCTGGTGCAGTGGTGACGGTGTGGTCGGCCGACGTTGGCGCAGACCACGACCCCCCGCGTGAAATCGTCATGAAGGGGCAGAAGTGGTTCGTCGCAGACCAGTACACCACCACGCTCTATAACATCGACCAAGAGGTACCAATTACTTTGTTTTGTTTGTATTAGAGTTGAAGTTTTCATTTTATATAAAATTGTATTTCTACACATTTTACATCTCAAAATTTAGGAAATATGTTTTAGTGCTTGGTTTCTAAGAGGGTTACTTTTTGGATTCATTTTTTCATCTTTATGGCTAGATTTACGTATTGTTTGATTATAATTACTCTTTAAATATATATTTTATGTTTCAATTGTGTCTTGGCAGGAAGTGGCGGTGTCGGAACGCCAGCGGCGGCAGGTGAGCACCAGCTCGCAGCGGCACCGCGAGCTCACGCACAAGTTCCCGCGCCGCGAACAGGTTACTATATATTTTTAATTATCAATCTCTTAGTATTTTACTTGGCCTAAAAATATAATTTATTCATTCTATAAATAGAAATAAATATAAGTTTGTTTTAATATGACTTTTACATTTTACGTTCTACAGACCGGAGAAATACGTGAGGGAGACGAGAATTGCCGCATAATGTAACTTTGATCATGTCAGCTGTTACGGTGCCAGCAGCCTACACCCCACATTACCGGTGCCTTGGACTTCGACACAGCGCGCACTCACAAATAACTTATAACTGTTTAAACAAGTTGTCACATAGAGTATCCTTGCCCCCCTTTGTATCTCGTAAAAGTCTGCAGTATATGAGTGAATCAAAAGTACATCTATAATCATGACTACCTACCGAATGGTACTCAGTCCTTAAAGTTCAAAGTTTCCTAGGCCTCTATGCAATCTTAGATTAATCATATTCAACAATCATTAATACGTAAAATTAAGAAATCAAGGATAAGATGATCATTTTTTCACTGCCTCAATATTTATGTCCATGTTCTTATTAGTGAACAAAGTACAAAATCGTTAGTTCACTAGTGTTGGTAAGTATTTTCTAATATATTACATGTAATTAAGGTTTTCCCACCCTCTAGCTTTTCACTGATATCTAAATATTGTGTCATTAATAATGCAATCCATTTAATAATATAGGTAGATGAAATCTACTAAAGATGATTTGTAGTAAACTTAGCTATTACTTTGACTAGAAAAATCACTTTATTTAGGTTAAGAGTTTTTTTGACATCATTGTGGTTGTCTTTAACGTAAGGTAACATTTGTCGTACATTTTAACAATTATTTTGTAATAACTTAAACAGGTGCAAGTCTCAAAAGCTGCATATTATAAGAGAAGTATTTTGAAACAGCATTTATAATAGGAAGTGGGTTGTCGTATAATATTTGGTAATACTACTTACACTAAAATATCATTAGATTAAATTTAGGATAGTAATAAGATATTTCACATGGCCATTTTATTGTCAAGAGAGGATCGAATCTATTTCTTTGTCAAAAATACGATTTTGTGGTTAATGAGTTAATCATGAACCTGTTTTTGTTTTTTTTTATTATTTTAGACTCAGATTTTGTATTCCATGTGTAAATTACATATTAAATAAAGATTTATTTAGGCTTAGAATTGTTTTGTTTTATTTATTGCCTACTAAAAGTAAAAACGATTGTGCCTAACACTCACCGACCGTCACTATGTATGGAATAAAAAGATAAACTACATATTAAAACGTTTTTTCTTCCTTTTTAACTACAAGATATAATATAATTTTAACTTTCACCTTTGTGAAAGTTAAAGAGAAAAGACTACAAAAAAGAATGTTGCCAGATTAAAAATAAGAAATACTTTTTATCGAGGCATTTAGATCAAAGAGTATATAAAATATATAGATTATAGAAAACGGTTAAGTGTCAATGTTTAGTTGCTCTGTGACGAAAAAAATGCGAACCCTTTTGCGTCGTCCCGCCTTAAATGTACCTAGTAAGGTTCCTGACAGTTAATTTTATTTCTATTATTAGTTCGTATCCTTACAGGACATTAGGGCCAAAACGGCGAAAGCTTGTACTTGTCCAAATATATAGAGGTTAGTGCAATTGTGGCAGCACCACATCAGCCAAAAGTCGTGTCATCATGATACTGACATGAATTTTATATGCTTCGATGTGGTTACTCTTTGATATGTTTGCTGTCATCTGTACTAATTTGACATTTGGTTAAATGTTATTTTATTCTGTAATTCAAAATTATATTTTTGAAAACAAAAACTGTCCTTTTCTTCACATTTGCAACATTACTATCGATTTGTAAGTAAAATTGTAAAACATTTGATTTTATGGATATAAAGAAGAAATCTAATGTATCGCTTAATATATACCACCGCGGCTATTGCCTGGCATTTACATCAATCCACAGTTTGTTAATATCCAGGAATAATCGTAAATATAATTGAAAGTTTAGCCTTGATGCTTGCGGCAAATAAGTAAAGGCACCATTAATCTACCAAGGTAGTTTCAGGCCATTGTAGTTTTCATCAAGCATATCTGTGCAAGGAACGTGAGTGCCAATTATGGCAGTGTATTAAGAATAACCTATGTTACTTTTGTATGCAAATAGCAAACAAATGCTACATAAAAGTCTACAATCTTGAATGTTTAAGGCCATGATCAAATTGAACACATTAAAAAAATCTCCCGGTAAGAATCCAAAATCCTGTTTGTAATTAAACAAGACATTGTTTAAAAAGTACCTTAATAAAATAAATTAATATACTGAATCCGCAGGAACTCACTGCAAAATTAACTGTTTTAAATCCAACATTCTAGAAAAGCAGTTTTGTTTGATAACATTTTGTTAATCATTATAATATGTGCAGCAAAAACTTTGTAAACGTTTTTCTAAAAAAATTGCATGAATAGTTTGTTCAGTGTGAAAAATTTACAAGTTGAAGTTAATGTGAAAAGAATTATAAAGCTATGTTTAATCAAAAATAAAAATCTAATTATCAATTTGATTGAATTTAATCCAATGGCCCCTACTACTACAGCTTGATTTGTTTGTCCTGCATAAATATAAAACCGCATTTGAGAGAGTTTTTGGTACATTTGAATTGCTTTGTCTTATAGGTCATAGTTACTTCCTTGATGGATGAATTTCCACAATGAAGAGCTTTGCATGTAATATAAATATCTCCAAAAAGTTGCGACTTAGGGCCGTCAAGATAAGAACATATAATTCCATTATAGGTTGGCAACCAATCTATAGTTTCTTTGATGTTGCAGATTAGCGTCAGATCAATTAATATTAGACTATATACTGCTTGTTTGCCCTTATATTTTAAAAATAATTTGGAAGCGGCTATTCAAATTAAATTATAAATTAGAATATTAACAATATAATTATACCTAAACAGTTCTGTAGATTTAGTTTAATATGATATATAAATATTTGCCTTACAAAATTATTTAAAAATCTCCCTCTTTTTAGAAACAAAAATATAACTAGTAAAAAGGTTTTTAGCATAAAACTTTTATGTAGGGCTTACTGCGCATCAAAATAAAACCTCCGAGGAGAAAATAGGACAGAGGAAATAATGTTTGTGTTTTAGCGGGGTTCGGTGGTCGGGCGGTTAGGTCGGGCGGATCCATCGCAATTTTCGCGCCTTGACCCAGGTGGGTGTAACGACGCAATAGGTCACGGGGGTGAGGGGCGACATCGCGGGGGGTGTTTGGACGGGAGTAGTAGCGTAGTGACGTCAGCGACGCGCACTATCGACCCCGGCAGCCGTCACAACACCCCGCCTCCCCCGCAAGCCCCTCATACCCCACGCCGCAGTCGCACCGCGCATCTACGCATCGCGCCGTCCGGAAACACGCTACCGCTAATGCGATAGGAAATATCGGCTTCGATTTGATGACATCTGTGAATACGGCTATGCCGAGCTATTATACTGTTTTTATTCGTAACAGCGCAAATTGTGGACAAAGTTCCTCGCTGATATTATCTTCTAGTTTAAATAACATAGACGAAATTGATTGATTCCATATATTTCGCGGTAAATTATATAAAAGATGTATTTCTTTCAAGTTGTATGGAAATAAATAACTAATACGTATAACAGATTTAAAAGAACATAAATATACGTAGATATTATAAGACATTATCTATGTGTAAACTAACGTAGGTCCAGCTCGAATTCGACACACAAGTACATTTCATGCCTTGGTAACAATTAAATGTCGGAGGACTTAGTTATCTTAAATATTTGGAATAATTAGTTAAATTAATTTAAAACAGGACAAAATATACATTTTGTTATATTAATGATCACTTGGTACATTAATTAATTTAAATAACAAAAGCAATTACATTGTATCAGCTTAATGTGTGTGATAAATATATAATTAAAGTTCATAATTTCAAAATAGGCAGTAGTAGTCATTGTTACTGTTCTGTAATATTTCTTAGGGTCATGAGAGGGTAGAGGTCAACCGTAAATATGAAGATTTCATAGCAAAGAAAGTCGCATTGTTGTTGGACTACTTTATACAAACGTTTATTCTTACACGATATTGACCAGAGTAGAATAGCGGCGCGCCCATGGCTCGCTTTTGCGTCGCACCGCTTGCTATTAATTTCCTTACGCACACAAGTGCGTTGTTTGAACGAGATTGTCGTTTCTCTGCGCTGGCTGTGTTATTGTTCGCGACTCGCGAGCCGCGCCGCAATCTGTGGCCCCGCTAACTGCGTAGTTCTAACACACAATCCGGATACTCCCTTTTGATACAAAATTTTATTGTTGTTTCGATGTAGTACACAGTAAAGTAACACTAATAACACAACACCATGGTATGTCATTAACAATTAAAAACAGTTTCACTTAAATTTTGCTTCGACAATCGTATAGAAAGCTTTTTTTTTGTTTTTGCAGATCATGAATTCATTACTGCTTTGACACAAGTAAAATTTAAAGTATGACAGATACTTTTGGGAAGAATGCAGCATTGAAGCGCTTCAAAAAAATCCCCGTTTACGTGGTCGAAGAGCACAATGAGGCGTTACAATTTATATACTCTGCGATTGGCGGGAAAAAGCTGCCGGTGGAGGGAAATACGCTGGTGCACCTGGATGCACATCCAGACATGTTGATAGACCGTATGCTGAGCGGGCACGAAGCGCGCGCGGGCAAGAGCGTGTTGCCCCTGCTGCAGATCGAGAACTGGATCGTGCCGGCGGCGGCGGCCGGTCATATCGGCCGTGTGCTGTGGCTGCGACCACCCTGGGCTCGGCAATTCACAGACGGTACTCGTCGTATAAACGTAGGCGACCACCCTGCAACGGGTTTACTACGGGTCGACAGCAAGGAACCGTACTATTTATCGGACGCGCTTTACTCCTCCGATCTCTTAAATGCTAAAGAATTCACATTCACAGTCGCCGAACTGTCTAATGTAAATTCTGAGCACTATGTTGATGAGTTTGCCAAAAACTTACATATAAGCGAGCCTTATGTATTGGATATAGATTTAGATTTCTTTAGCACCGGTAATCCATTCCTAAGTTTGTATGAAGACATCGGACTTTACGACCGCTTGGAGCCGATATTCAGCTTTGAGTTGCCGGCAGACGACGACGAGCAAACAGTGGAGAAAGTTATCGCGTTACGGGAGCGCCAATTGCAGGAACTCGAACACTTGTTCCAGTTTCTGGAAGAGCATAACACGCTTGAAGACTACGAAGGGGAAAAAACGGATTTGTTCCGAAGGGTTAGTCGAAAAACTTGTTTTATGTACAAACTTTAAACAAGTGTCTGGACTGGAACGGTATTATTTCCATATAAGTGTATCGTAGAAAATAAAACCTATTAAGTCTTATTTTGTACTAATTATAATGTGTAATTTAATACACCGTTTTTTTATTTAAACTCGAATAAATTTTATATGATTTAGGTTTCGAATCTAGCCGAAGTGGTGAGGGCGGAGGCGGAGCGGTTAAGCGATAGTCCCGACTGGTGGGCCGTGTTCGCCGCGGGCTGTACAAGGGACAACGGCGGTCTGCCTTATCACATCAGCTCGCACCAAGAGATTGAACACTACGTCCGTGGGACTTTGAAATTACTTCTAAGTCGCCTTCCACAGCCCATACTCGTTACAGTCGCTCGATCCACTGATGATGGTTATTGTCCGCCAGATCAAGTAAGTCTTAATTTTTGTCAAAAAAAATGTTTTGCTTTATGTTTTAAATATTTTTTTTTATTCAGTAAGCTCTGTTATATTTAATCAAAAGACTAAATAACAAATATTGGGTCTATTGTTTTAGGTCATAAAATATGTTTTTTCGCAAAGTACTCATTCAAATGTAATAATTATTTCTTGCATTGTTAACAGGTTGACTTCATTCAGTCGCTGGTTTTACAAACGTTACAAGAAGTTTATAACACCGATGATCCGCATTTATACTATTTAAATGTTAATATACCCAATACCGAGGAATAAAATGTATCAAAATGAGAATATGTTTCTTTTATTTTCCTCAAATACTGTACGAGGCAGGAAAGAATTTTATAACAGGCACTGTATCTACCATTAATTTGATGGGGCGGCGTCGTCGAGTCGCATCGCCGCTCACTGCAGTGCCAAATGCACTGCCATAACTCTCCTGTAATGCGCTAACTGTATTCTTGTGTTACACGTTTGCAAAATATACCAGTTCAAATAAGCCAACGGATCATTTTATATGGCCTTAGCTGACTGTTCAGTGCACTTGCACATATCGTTATGTTACTCTAACATTTTGAATTTTGTAGTTTCGAATTTTTACAGTATAAATGTAACATAGATCGTTGATTAGTGTTCTCGCACAACTGGCTTTGTGAATCACCGTTCAGGACAGACGCGGCGCTTTAAAGGGACGCATAGTGACTTGACTCGATCCGACTGACACCAGACGGCGTGACCAGATAACTGCGAGCAGAGAACGGGGCATCGAAGTAATCTTCACATTATATATTTATTTATAACGTTAGATGGAACAGGTACAGGAGAGTTGTGCCGTTCTACTCCCAAACTCGTTTGGTACGGCACATTGACGCTGAGAAATATACTAAATTATCTTTGTAAGCGTAGATTTCCACTGCTGAAAAACTTATACAAAAATACTATCATGTCTTTCATTATTTTAAGAAGACGACATGATATTTAAAGTAAATGGATGTGTGTAAATATTTCTTTGAAGAACGTGTTCATTTTAAACAAAAGCAAAGTCACAGTCTTGTTGCCTTTATGCTAGTTTTAACAAAAATATTTGTTTTAGCATTCCTTTCACTTCTAAGTACCAATATTTATACTCGGTATTTCCCCAGCACTATATGCTGTACCTGAACTCGAGCGGTTTCATGTTACGGCTGCTTCTTTTCCTCAAGGAAATAACATCAAAATATTTTGAACAAAAATTTTAAATATTTTTTTTGCATACACATTTTTCTAAGGTTTGTAAATCATCGAATGAAATAAGTGTAGAGTTAAAACGTGATTTTAACCAAATCACTAACTGATCATATTAACTAAAGAAAATACCTGCGTAAAATAAATATGTACCAACTTTGATGTAATTGTCGAATGACAGAAACCAGATGATAATGAGTAAAATTGTTTTGTTTATTTCAAGTTGTAGCCTACATTTGCGTTTTAGTGTAATACGAAACCTTTGAATTGCATTAATGTAAAATGTTAGGCCCTTCGCACACAAGGCAACTTAAATGTTGCTTGCAACCTGATTGTCAAGATCGTAGGATGGAAATCGTTACAATTTTCCAGATGGCAGAGTAAATCTATACAGTTGACATGTAGCCACTATGCCTGGACTGACTAAATAGATTTGCGTTGACGATTCAACGTTGTGGGAGCGCGCGAAACGCGATTCTGGCGACGTATCCACAAAATATCAGTTTCATTTATTTATGTTGCCTTGTGTATAAAAGGCCTTACACGCGATTTGCTGATGAAGCGGCGTCAGTGTCGGTGTTGTCTACAAACAAAGTCAACGCACCGTCGCACGTGCCTCGTGTTCATGCCAACGCCAGTAAAACCATCGTAGGTACATAAACAACCTTAATAAAACTGTTGTTATTGTGTAACTGACTAGTGCGAAATATTCCGAATCAAAAAATGTCATTTTTGATGCAAAAGTTAAAAACTCTTCTTCTTACTACACATTTTATAAAGATTTTCCGATATAACATCAAATAAAGGTTAAAGTTTGTTAGAACTTCGTTATTTTAAAGAGTCTCATGCAAACGATTTGACAATTTAAAACTTTTATGCCTTACCTGTAACAATTGTTTTCTGGCAGCTTTCCACGCGTCATTTTGTTGCACTACGATTTAAGGTTAAGGAGATCTTTGCATAAGATGTTCAAAATACAATAGTCTATAAACTGCAATTTTATCAGCAACATACGTTTGACGTAACAGAATTGAATTATATTCAGAATCATAAAATTAGAAGGATTTCTTAAATACGTACGTAGCTAAAAAATAGAGTAACTTGTTATAAACGACTGCGCGAGACATAAAGCACTCGCAAGATCCCTCAAGTTATAAATACGTTACATTATTCCAGACAATAAACTGCTACGGTCCAGCCGTTATGATCAACGGCGTAGGTATTCCTACACCTAATTAACCCAATGATTTGCACACGACGAGGGCACGCGGGGGTGACGTAGTAATGTATGTATACCTCCAGCCTTTGGGCCCCTCGTGTCACGTAGGTAGGCTCAAATCGGGTCAATTAGCAATAAAAGAATGGCATGAATATTATACCAATGTTATTCTGAATTTTAAACATTTGGTAAAAGATAAGACTTCATTTATGATGAAGTCTTATCTTTTACCAAATGTTTAATATATTCATTAAAAAGGCGATACATTAGCAAGACGCGGGTTAGTGAGTCTTGTGTCATAAATTCAAGTCGCAAAAATATTTCACCTGTTTCCACGTATATTATAAAGTATGATTCTCTATATGGACTCACTCCTTGTCATATTTGGAACTCGATATACACAAATATAAACAGTGAAAAGTAAGATTCTACGTTAGTTTTCAGGATTAATTTATTATAACCAAAGGATTTAATTTATTGCTAAAAGTATATGATATATAGTTAGTTGTATGTATAGTTTGCAACAAGCAAAACAAAGTCTATGGGTCCGAACAAACAATTTAGTCCTTCGATTGGGGGCGATTGGGGTCAAATGCGCATCGAAGTGGCGACACTCGTGGGCCAGCGCTAACAAGTAACGAGGAATTACATCACGCGCCGGCGCGCTGCTAAACTTAAGCACCAATTAAATTCAATAAAAAGTGCTAATGGCGCACTATTGAAATTATGTACCCACTTGAATTCTTACCTAAGGCATACAGTGTAATGTTTTTGTTTTTTACATAGTTGTTTTGTTATTTTTTATCTATATTGTATTGGTTGCGTAGTTAACTTTGTGGAATAACGTGCCCTTTGGTTTCATTCGTGCTAGATATGTGTGATCTCAACTGCAAAATGTATAATTTTATGACATTGTCTTTCACTTGGTTAAATTCCAATTTATAAAAATTATATCTTGGACATATAAGAAGTATAGTCTTTGTAGTCGGGGAAGTACCGCAAATTTTAATAACACCAGGGACCGGATGTAGTATGTATTTTATTTCTGTTTTCGCTCAGTGTTTGCTCTTTACCGATTTAAAATTGTTACAGGTATACCTTATTATCTCGTTCTAAATGTTGTATAAATGACTAAAATAAAATATTATTTGACTTTGAATATTAATAAAAGTAAACATCACTGGCAAATTGTTCAAATAGCTAATGTAATTGCCCAGTCCCAAATAAAATGCGGCCTTGACCGCCATTGGTCTATTTAATTCTGTGCATTCAATTAAAAGGTTAATTGTAATAATCATTTGAAGTTCCTATGCAATGACACATACGTTTCTTTCAAAATATCTAAGTGGAAGCTATTTTTGGTTAAGGGTAACGAATTCATCAAACATGTGGACATTTGACTTCCAAAATCGCCATAAAATGCAAATTATTTTTTAGTATATTTGTTTTGACCGTGCATTTCACGAGAAATTTATGCTAAAATATTAAAAACTTTAGTGGATTGTCTATAGCGCCGAGTATTAAAATTTAAATTGAAGTGATTTCTTGTTATTACTTTAACCTATACTTTGCCCTTCTTAAGCTCCATAACTATAAAACACTTTATTACACCATTAGATAACGTTACGACTTTAAACCGTACACGAGTGCATTTTTCCTTTGAATTTTATAACTGAAGTGTATTTAATTTTTAAAATGATAATTTGTATTCTGTACTTATTTACAGTTAGACGGCAAGATGAAAAAATCAACATATTTAAAAACCAAAGAAATTTGCAATCCGAATTCACTGGGGCGAAGTTGGTAACAAACAGCAAGGTAATTGTGTAATAATGCGTTGTTTAATTTTTTCTTTTATAATGTCTGTATAATATTTAATAATTACCGGTTTAAAGTTTTTCAAAAATTATCAATTGCATGAAAAACCTAATTTCCTTTCTTTTTTTAATTATGTTAATGTTGTTAAGTCAATTGGAAACTTTCAAATCAACATAAAAAAACAACATTCATGAAAGCATTAACGCGAATACACTTCTCAATTGTTATTCTATTACCACGATTTATTTAACGAGCGGCGCGTACATATTATAATTATAGACGTGATACAAATATTAATTAAGCCGGAAAGCTTACTCGTGATGCGTGCATACCTAGCATTGCCTGCCTCTGTTAACGTACTAAGTACATATCGCATTATGTAATTTATATTAGAACTACCTATCGCCCGCGATACCGTCTGTTCAGAATTAAAAAACAAAATGCTTCCTAAGGGTTTTTTAAAATTCTGTGCTGAAGAAGTTGCGGGCGACCGCTATTACTGTGTATGTAGTTGTCGCTCGCGACACCGTCCGCGTGGGATGAAAGAGGAACATAATTAGTACCCTATCTCCCAAACTATGTTCTAAATCTATACAAATATCCTCGATATCCGTTGAGGCGTTCTGAAGATACCTTATAACAAACATCTATCAATCCAAACATTCGCATTTATAATATTAGTGTAATGATATGTCGTTGGTTAAATATTTATGTGGAAAATTACGAATTATTTGTCACGGAATAATTTGTTTTATACTTTTATGAATGAATATATTTCATACAAGGTTTTATTTAAGTAGTAGCTTAAACTTGTAAAATGTTATCGTAACCGTTGAGTGTATCGTTTCCTGTTTGTTTTCTAGTGAGTGCGGGACATGGCTATAGGTAACTAAAGTACGAGGAGAGGCGGCCGCGCGCGACGGATAGTAGCCACTCCAATTACGAGCGCGGGAAATTATCATAATTTCATTAATTATAAACTTTGTTCACTCATTAAGCTTACCAAAATTAATATTAACTTTTTTTGTATGTT